TTATTATTCATTTGGCCAATAAATTATTATTTGGTCAATATAACAATATAAATAATTCAGTATATTTGTAATAGGAATTTATTATTTCAGGAGCTTATATCTCTCGAAGGGTCGCGAGTAGGGGTATGGTTCCTTTGACTTTATTGTTAGTACAGGGGTCTATGGTTTGGGGGGTCGCCACCTCTTCATTCGAAGGGTAAATCTTACCATTCGGACTTAACAGAGCTGTAGAGCATATTGATAGGAACAAAAAAGTCAAAGGAACCGTGCCTCATGGAAATTTGTAAAGAACGCCCACTAGGGAGCGTCCCGAGCTACTAGTGTTAATAGAAGTTTCCGTTTTCGTTTCCGATTCCAATATTTTCCCATGTTTATAAACATGGGAACTTTAAGTATTGGAATCGTGTTAAATATGATCCTCCGGTATTTTGCAAATCTTCACGTTTTGAGACTTCTTGAACCCAGGAAAGTCAAAACAACGGGTAGAAAATTCCGTGGACGTGTGCATGCGTTTGCGTTTTGGCGTCTATTTCGTTTAATATCTCAGGATGGGGTAATGATTAAGAAACGAAATTTGGTATGGTAACTTGTGGTGCTATTTAATTTTAGTGGTTAAAAGTCGAGGGGTGGGAGGATGAGGGGGTGTCATATCTCGAGAGTGGTCGGACGTAATGAAGATTTTACTCGTTATTAACACTTACAATTTTTTTAAAACTCATCTCAAAACTCAAAATGGAGTTTTTTTGCCATTTTATGATAATTAATAATACCGTATAAAAGTAACTTTTTAAACAAAATCTCGTAATAGATGGCGCCACAGAAACTCTTAACTTCGTGCTAATGTATCTTACAAGTTATTGTTTTTCTCAGGAAAAGTTACGCAACTCATTGCTGAATTTTTTTTTTTTAATTTTGAAATTAAATTAGAGTAAACAAGTAAAACGTGTTTGGGACAAGATTATGTCTCGGAGACTCATGAGTAAGCGGAATCACTTTGACGCTCAAGGTAGGTCTCGTTTTCATTCTCCAATCTTCTTTAGTATCGCCGCTTTTAAGCGCTGTCGTTCAAACTTCGCCGGCCATGATGCATTTTCGAAGAAATTAACCTATCCAATTTCGAAATTTCTCTCCGTCGCGTGTCGCCCCGGGTTGAATTTTTGTCTATGCGTAACGAAAATTTCCCGTTTCTGAAAAAAATAATCGTGGCTCCGAAAATATCATCCGAAATTATTTTTTTATTTTGCGCAAACAATATATAACGTCATCAGATGTAATGACAACCCTAATATAACGTCAAATTTTTATCGGTCCCACGATTTTACTATACTAGATAATGTTAAAAAACCCNTAAAAAAAACTGTATATGTATGCATATGGGTGTTTTTTGGTTTCTTAAATCATCGTCTCCGGGCGAGACTAAGTTGTGAGGTGGCAACCCTAGATATCGCACGATTGACACTTAATTGTTTTTTATG